TAAATGAGTTTCATATTAATAGTTTTTATATAGGGGCAATTCTATGTTACTTAAGATAACAAATGGGATATTATAAAACTGATCACACTACAATCATACTAAATTTTGAACCCTGAAATTCTTGGTAATACCAATGTTCACTTTGTCTGGTTTTGTTGCAGCATTCCCCATTTGATATAGTGTTGGAATACCCAAAATGACAAAACTGCTGAAAATAGCAAAAATGATGAAAATGACAGAACTGCCAAAACTGCCAAACCGCCAAAATGCCAAAACTACAGTTTCTATTTGAAATATTTGTTTTATTTGTTATGAAAATTTATAAAATGAATAAAGCAAATAAAACAAATATAACAAATAAAATGAGTAATTCAATGATTTGATAAAACAAATAAAACAAGTAATTCAAATAATTTGAATAAAACAAATAAATGAGCAATTCAAATGATTTGAATAAAACAAATAAACAAGTAATTCAAATGATTTGAATAAAACAAATAAAATGAGGAATTCAAATAAAACAAATAAAGTGAATAATCACAAATAATAAAAATTTGTATTACGAATAGAAACTCTAGACAAAATAATAAATTTGATTAATTTAGTTGACTATTTATTTGAATATTAATATCAATATGGTGAAATTATATTAAAATCTTCCTAGCAGTTATACCAAAAGTCAGCTATAGGCAGTTTATAGTAGGATTTTGCATCCTGGTGCTGTATCAGCAGCAATTTATCAAACTTGTGTCTAACTAGCTAATAATTTATATATGAGGAATTAATAAAATAATGAAATGATTAAATAGTAAATATATGTATAGGAAGAGTTATTTTTGTGTGGAAGATACAGTAAGATAATTTATTATGGAAGATATTACATTTGAGCTCTTTTCATAAGAAATATTAATTAGTAAACTGTGTAATTTACATTTTACAGAAACTACATCTTGTCATTAATGCCAAATTTAATGCTAACCACAAATAATCTTAAACTGCTCTTTACTATATAAATATATAATAAATAATAATAATGAAATGAAATCTTCCTACTGGTAATAATTTAAATATTGTCAACTAATTTAAAAATCCTAAATCTTGATATTTTTTTAATATTTTCTTTGATGCATCACCTTCATTACCATAACTATGAAATTTCATTGTTAAAGGTTTAGGTCCTCTCCAATTCTTCATTAATATATCTAACAAATAGTCATTAAGATTAGAAGCCACATAAGTACAAATTATTGATCCTAATTTTTTTGGTAGTGTTTGATTTAATACTGTTAATATTTTATCACCATCAAGTCCATAAAATCCACCTCCACTCAAGTAAAGATTAATGGAAGCGTTAGTAAGTATAATACTTTTTAACTTTGTACAACTATTGAGTACTTCCATTAATGCCTGATCTAATTCATCATAATAAATTGTTGATAAATTTTCTAAATTTTTACAAGATTGTGCAATTGATTGAAATAGCTTTCTCACAATTTTGCTATCTGCAGTATCATAATAACTTTCATAACTAACGTCCAGACTTTTAAGAGTTTTTCCATTGATAATAATAAAATCAGACAAGTCTGATAGTAATGGTTGATATGCAACACATACACTTACAAATTCAATACTTGGCAGTGAAATACTTTTCAAATTATCTAATCCATGATCAACAATTGTTGATAAAATTTTTAAATTTTTAAAGGTTGGTATTAATGAATTTTCAAAATTATTTTTTCCATCAGATTCATAAGAAGTTATTGATTGTGAATGTGTTAATATTGCTTCTTTTAATTCATCTGGTAAAATTTGTTCATTTTTTGTATTAATAACTAAAGATTTAATTTTCTTTTGTGCTTTAATTAGCTGTGCCAATTTATATATGTTTTTATCATTACTATTATAATATATGTTTAATGATTGAATATTCTTACAAACATTTATAAATTTATCAAAAAATTCACAGCTATCAGAACTAAAACATTTCAATTCATAAAGATTCTGAAAGATATTATCAAATCTATGATGATTAAATAACAAATTAGAATCCATAGAAATAATAGCACTAAATACTCTAATACATGCTGAATGATCTAAAATAAATTCTACTAATTTATTTTGTAAAATTTGTGATGTACCAATTTTTATCAGGCATTCAAAATCATAATAATCAAAAAGTCTAGTAATAAATCTGGCATAATTATATAATGGTGGTTTCTCCAATAGTTCAAAAGTTAATTCAATGTGATTTCTAGTTAAGAAATCCTTATC